ATTCTCTTCATGCTGGTAATTCTTTCCCCAATTTCAGGGCCCTGTTGATCGGGGTGGGAAACAGTTTTTCTACCAAGGGCCATTTGGATATTTATATCATTTGGGGGCCATGCAAAATTATCCACTTAAAACAATCAGCCTGCTGTCTTTGCCAAACTTTTGATGAACTCTCCCCGCATGTGATGGCTGGAACTGCTTCTGTGGTGTTAGCTGGTGCTGATTTCATGGGCCTTACGAGGCCTGTGGCCGGGAGGCTCCCCATCCGTCCTGTAACTGTATTCCAGCAGCCCTGAGGGCATACTGGTTACAGCCTTCATCTGGGAACCCTCAGGTTCAAGCCCGCAGCTGCTCCCCAGGAGGAAGACGCGGCAGTCGGTTTACGTAAAGATTCACAGCCCTGGAGACTCTCGGGAGGCAGGTCTCCTCTGCCCTCTGAGGTTGCTATGAGTTGGCACTGACTCTCTGGCAATGGTTGGGAATATAATACTACAACGTGCGCATTAACATATATTTTTCTCTCTTCTGATGAAATATTAGACTATATTTATGGGAGTAGGGAGCTGGGAGAATAACTCATGAACTATGAACTGTCATTTACGAAGAGCTTCCTTACCTCCTCCAAGGCTTGGATCAATTGCACGGTTTTGCGGCCCGCAGCAGTAGAATCATCATAGTTCAAGGACAGTATTTGTTTTGAGATCTCTCTGAACCACGCTTGAAGATTTTCTGTTGATACAGAAACAAGGAGAGAGTTCCTGTAAGAGAAGCTGGTACTTCCATGGAATTGTAGTTTATAAATCCATGTTAATCTTGTGCCTAATGTTGAATCTCAGGAGTTCTCCAAACCACTACCTGTGAAGACCTGCAGCGTGCAACCCAGGAGAAGAAAGGGCGCCTTCTCCATGGACCGCCAAGCCCACAGTCTCTGGAGACACGAGGAGGCCCAAGCACAGGCTACAATACAAATGATCCCTGTCAAGGTGGCTGGGGTGGGGAGGAAATAAATGCTGCACTTCCTGGGAGAGCTTTCTGGAGAGCTGACTCGGGTGGGCGAGGCAGAAAGAGAGAGGTGCTTTCTCTACAAGAAGAGACAGGTGGGGCAGGAGGGGCAGGTGGGAGCGGTGAGCTGGGGGAGAGGTCTGGGAGACTTCCTGAGGTGCCATCTGCCCTCTTTGCCCAGAGCAGAGAGGGGCGGGGCTCCAGGCCAGGGGGTGGGCTCAGCTGCCTCACTGACTCTGGACGCCCGGGTTAGCTTCCTTCTTGGATGGAGGGGTGAGGTGCTGGGCTGCTGAGAATCCCATCCGGGCATCTTCACAATCACCTGTCGGCTTTTAGTTTTTGTCTTACCAATGGGTCATTATTCTTCTATTAAAAAAGATTTTTAACTCATTTGAAGAACTGGCACGGCCGTGCCACATTATCCAAGAAGCAAGGTAAGCTCTGGCTTACTTGTGTCTACTTAGAATCCACAGGGCGCAGTTTTGCATCTTTGCCCCACACCAAAGATTCGGCTTCTGGGTCTGCATGGCGTCTGTCTCTCACCCAACCCCACAGCGCCTGCCTGTACAGCTGAAGTCTCTTTTCAGACTTACAATCTCAGACAGGGGCTGAGCACTCAGCCAGGAAGGTAAGCGTGGGCTTCCTTGTGCTTACTAACGAATCTGTGGTGAATGGTTTCCCATTTTTCATTACATTGAAGACGGCTCAGTCAGCCACGGAACTGCCCGTCCTTGGTTCACCAGAGGCAGTCCCACTGAGCAGTTGATCTCAGAGGTGGACGTGTTCACCACAGATCAGCAGGTAAGCACAAGTCCGCCTGTGCTTACCTTATTGGGCACGCCACCCTCAGGCACAAGGAAAACTAGCTGTAATTGTCCGTGTCTTTGGCTGGCTGGAGGGACAGCTGGAGCTAAGGGGAGCAGGAAGGGGAGGCGTGAGTCCTGCGACCTTTCCTGTGCAGCATGCGGTTTCTGTGGATGTGGAAGAGGGCGAGAGGGCTTCCCTGGGAGGGCTGCGTGGGTCCGACGCGGCACGCCTGTGAACGCACGCCCAAAAGGGCAAGGCAGGAGGAGGTCATGTCTACAGCTGATCAGCGACGTCAGGGGTTTGGTTCCCTCCCCGTCTCTTTTCCAAAGAGCTGGAATTGGCTCCATGGCAGGAGACCACGCCGAAACCTAACAAGGTCAATTCAAACCCACGCATCTACCATCAGGCTGGAACAGGGGGTTCTTGGCTTTTGAGTCCCAATACGGTGGTGACCTGCAAACTTATGCCAATCTCCATCACGCCACTGTAAACTGGCCGCCTTTTCCCCACACGCACATACCACCTCACAACGTATTTTTGACTAATTTCTTGGCATCAAATACGCCAGTGACATGATTAAAATAGGATACAGGCCGGAATCCAGTGATGACAAGCTTGTGGTGATTTAAAATAGTGAAGTTCATTGTTTACATGTTAAAGAGGCACACTGTTAAGCAAGTTTTGGTACAGTTAACTTCACTGAAAACGAATCTGATGGTTACACCCTAAGTGTTAGAGCAAATCTCAAATGCACTCTTCAGGGTTGTTTTGAGAGGTTCTGATCTATGTAAAAATCTGAAGGGACAACTTGGGAAAATCCCGTAGTGGAGCAGGAGCAAAAGCATTCGAGCAGAACTGGAGCTACGTTTGTGCAGTCTGGCACAAGCTGGCAAGGAGACATCGCACTGCGGGAAGCCGGTCAGACCCAAAGGACTATTGTGACCCCAGTTATACAACATATCCCGAACAGGCAAATGCAGAGTCCCAAGTTCATTAGCAGTTACCTGGGAGTTGGGAAGGGGGAGAAGGGGAGCGATCCCCTAAAGATGCTGAGCTTCTGTTACAGGTGAATGATGAGAACATTTGGAAACTGACAGTGTTGATGGTGGGGGAACATGGAGAATAAAATTACTCATCCATCAGTATGATCCAAGTGTGATAAATGCTACTGAGTTTTATACAACTCCCGATGAAGTGGCAATGTCGATTAGCTTCTGCAGACATACTTCACTTTGTCAATGTGTTACAGATAATGGTTTACTTTTTTGCAAATTAAAAGTTGGCGCAATTCTGTGTGAAGCAAGTCTACTGGCACCAGGCCCTCCATCAGCATGCGTCACGCCATATCTGTCACATGTCGATAATTCTCGTGATATTTCCAACTTCTCCACGTGCTTACTGCACACTTAGCAGGTTGTACTATAGGACAAACAAAACTTTTACGTGTGCTGGTACCCCAAAACATAGGTGAGACGTGCTTGACTGAGATACCTATTGAATTGTGGTGGCCTGGAACAGAATCCACAGTATCTCTGAGGTGCTGTGCCTGTAATATTATTCCACCACAACAAAATCAAAACCCAAGAAAGTTCAGAAGAGTTAGGAAAGGAGGGGGAGGGCAGCAGGAGACAGAGGGAGGAAGTGGGATATGCCTATTAGGTGCCATCGGTCGGCTCCGACCCACAGTGACCTCACACACAACAGGAAGACGCAGCGCACGGTCCTGCGCCATCTTCACAGTGGTTCCTGTGCCTGAGCCACGGTCGCTTTCATTAATACATCTGCGACCGAGAACCAAACAGGTTCAGGGGCCCAAGATTCGGACATGCTCACGTCCGAAGTTACTGGTATTCACGGGTGATGCAGCCTTCTGAGAAACCACGAAAGCTGTGGCTCCTCTTTGTCCACCACTCAAACACGCAGCGACGAACCCAGTTTTACAGCCCAGTTAGAGGGCAAGTGAGGATTCTCTATAGCTTATGTACAAACTGTAGGCCGAGAACCTGACTGGTCCAGTTAAACTATGAGAATGCCTAGTTCAAAGGTCAAGAAACTGAAGTCTTGAGAAGACAGCAAGCTGGCCCGAGGGGCATAAAGTTAGAAGTAGCAAAAACTGAACCTCAGATCTTTATCTTTCGTTGTTGTGTGCTTCAGAGTTGAATTTCACTTAAAAGGGCCCTGCGACGCTAACATAAAAGAGGGCAGGCTCGGGCAGAAAAGGGTGGAGGGATCACAGGATGGCAGTTGCTAACGGTCCCAATAGTCTGTGACTACGTTTGCCCCATTACCATTTTTCTCCACTCTGGTTAGCGGCTTCACTCCAGAAAAGACCTCGGCCAGCTCGGTCATCCGCTCCGAGCCCTCGTTCTTGTAACGCTCCCACTTGCTCTGCTTTTCGGAGAGCATCTGCTTGAACATCTGTGGACGAGTCAGAGAAACCCGGCTAATGTCGGAGCCAGCCAGATCAGTTTACGACAAAGTCTCGGCAGCCTGCTTGCTTGATTCTAATACGGAGGTGCAGATTTCGAAGGTGATTCCAATACATAGGTGCAGATTTGTGTAGATTTCTAAGGCTCCCCAGTGGCGCTACTGGGTAAGTGCTGGACTGCTAACCAACAGGTTGGCGGTTTAAGTCCACTGGAAACCCTATGAGCCGGAATTAACCTGGTGGCTGTGCCTTCAGCAGCTCTGCCACATGATGGGTCACTGATTAGAATGTTGGCAGTTCAAACCCACCAGCCACTCCATGGGAGAAAGACGAGGCAGTCTAATTTATAGCCCCAGAAACTATGTGAAGTGGCAGTAAATGAGTCGTGGGCGGGGTGGGAAGGAGCCTGTTGGCACAACGGTTAAGCACTTGGCTGCTAACCGAGAGACTGGTGGTTTGAACCTCCCAGGTGCTCCGGGGGAAATATGCGGCCAATTGCTTCCAATTAGATGACAGCTTTGGAAGGCCCTTGGGCAGTCCAGCACTGACCTACATGATCGCCGTGAGCTGGAACCGACTCAATTGTAGAGGGATTGGTGACCATGAGCACTCCATCCCTCCATCCTGTGGTCCCACCCGATGCTCCCATTTCTCTCGGGGAAGGGACCCAGGCTGGGTCAGGGCTCTGTCTTATGGGCCCAAACCACATTCCTTTCCTTTAGCCTTTACATGTTCATTAGAGTGACTCGTTAATGTCCATCTCCCCAGTCTTCTGTACTTTCACTCACTGCACCTCGGCAGCTGGAGTCCGGCTTATACCACAAAGCCCCAGCTCCTAAGTCTTTTTAAAATCCTGTTTACGAACACAAGATCCCCAACCAACCCCCCCTCCCAAGACTCTGGCGCACATTCAATATTGTTACCTCCTTGAGAATAAACTCAAACTGTGCCGTGTCCAGTAGCAGCTGGAAGAGGATCTTGGGGTTGTACCTGGAGTCCGTTAGAATCTGGTCCTTGATTTGACGGATGCGTTTGTTGTTTGGGTCACAGGCTGGAAAATGGCAAGGAGAGAGCTCTCTGTTCACTGTCACCGAGAAGTACAGACCTGTACCAAACTCTTGAACATCAAGTTTCATCCATGGCAAGCACGTCAGAGTCATGAGCAAAATGTGTACCAACCACAGGATAAAAACCATGACAGTCTCCCAGGCTTTGCAGTGTGACTGAACGGTCAATGACAGTTGGATGTGGTAGGATGTTGAGTGAGAGAATCAAGCCGCGGGGCAGGTGTCCACATTGCGTAAGCATTAGTGGGTGTGTGATATCTAGTGATATCTTCTGTATGTACTGCCAGCATGATATCTATAGGTACATATGTGTTTGCATGTATTGAAGGCGCAAGAAGGCAACAGCCCCATCTGTTCAATGTGGGGACCACTGAGGATCCAGGGAAGGTTTGGAGAAGGCGTGGAGGTCAAAGGGAGGTCAGGAAAGGCCTTTCAGCTTTATACTTCTATCCGGTGTCCAGTGTGACAAGAGCAGGGATGGCTTTAAAAGCAAACAGTCCAGTAACAGTTGCAGACACGGCAAGGCACGCTGAAACGCCCTCAAGGCCCGGCAGGTGCTTCCAGGACTGTCTTTCCAAAACCCCAAACCAAACTCCCTGCCACCAGGTGGATTCCAACTGGCAGCTGCCCTGTACAGGGTTTCCGAGGCTATAGATCTTTACGGGAACAGACAGCCCCATCTTTCTCCTGCGGAGCGGCTGGTGGCTCTGACTGGGCCACCTGTGGTTGGCAGCCCAATGCCTACCCCACAGTGCTACCACTACCCAGGCCCAGAGGACGAAGGCAACTGGCTAGTGTGCCACAGGGAGGCAGGGACTGACCCAGGGGCACCACACCAGCTGTCTTGACTGCCAGGTCAGGCTGCTAGCTGCCAAGCTGAGCCCTCGCAGAGAAAAGAAACGCTGTGTTCAGAGAAATGAGTGCAGCAAAACGGAAACGTTATTTAACGAGACTAGGTTTGGGGGGGCAGTTATTTATCTGCAACAGGCTAAGAAAGTAGGTTAAGACAAGGATACTTGAGGGGAAAAATGAGGACCTAATGTCGGGGGTTTAAGTGGAGAGAAAATGTTTTGAGAATGATGTACAAATGCGCTTTACACAATTGATGTGTGTATGGATTGCGACAACAGTTGTATGAGCCCCTAATAAAATGTTTTTAAAAATAAAAAGACAAGGCTACTTACCAGGAAAAGATAAAACTAAACCATAAGGCCAACCCGAAACAAGGAACAACAGAAACAGTGATCAATTAGCCATCAAGCTCACAGCAGAATCATGTGAAGGCCCCTGGGGCTGTGCTGAGCGCCGCAGGCCTGCATGCCCACGTGCCCCATCAGATAGCGCAGACTGGCTGGCGAGGTGGACGAGAAGGTGCGAGGCACCTGCACCACCTGCAGGCTTACTTGGCAGCTTTCCTAGACCCGACCCACCCCTCCCTGCTCTTTCTCATCCCAGGATGATTGGCATGTGTATGACTCTGGTGGATGAGCTTATGTTATGGGGTATTTGGGGCACTTCAGTTTGGGTGAAAAACACTCACTCACTCCCCAGTTGTTGCCGACTCACAGTGACTCCATAGGACAGGGGTTTCAGGACTGTGACTCTTTATAGGATTAGAAAGCCCTGTCTCTCTCCCGTTAGTTAAGGTAAAGCCTATTTTAAACACCGACTTCTACATTCTTCCATTGGGAAGGGACCCAGGCCAGCCTGGAGGAGGGCCCTGTTTCCAGAGCAAACTGCTGTGTGAGATTTGTCATGCAGCCTGCAGAACTGCTCAGGAAGAAAACACCGAGCAACTCGTGGCTGCTGAATCCCCGGAGAGGGCAGTTGTTTTTTTCAGAGGGCAGTCCCCTTGTCTTAATAAGCGTCTAATTCAACCGGAAACTTCTGATCTTCATTTGCTTCCTTTGTAGATCGGGGACAGAAGACCCTAACCTAAACCAAACCCGGGCCCATCGAGTGGACTCCCACTCGCCAGTGAGCCCACAGGACAGTACAAGTGCTCCTTTGTGCTTCCAACGTGGCACATCGTGATGGGAGCAGACGGTCTCATTCCTCTCCCTTGGGGTTGCTGGTGGTTTGAACCAGTGACCTTGGGATGGGCAGCCCGATACGTAACCCACGACACCACCAGAAAAAATATTCTATCTTCCCCAACAGGCAATGAACGTTTGGCCAATTAGCCCCTCCGTAAAAACTGGGTGTGGTTCCAGGGTTTCTAAGGCTGCATGATCTCCCTAAGATCAGACCTCCAAAAAACGGGACCCAGTGCACTAAGGGGACAGTCCCTCCAACTGTGGGGACCTTGGGGGGTGGGGAGTGGGGGCGGGGGTCAGTCTTCAATAGGCAACGCTGCTTTGAGCATTCTGGAAGTATGCGAAACTGGTCCCAATGGTGGCGGTGGGCTAAAAAATATATGACACACAACCCAAACATCATCAGAACTAAGTGAGCAATTCCCGGTCTACCTATGACTCATAGCTAGAGGACAAATCATTCATTCCCGGTCAATTACGACCTTGTGCAAACGGGTCAGACAACTCTCTGGCCCCAGAGTGAAAAACAGATGCGGCTGACAACCACAGGCCAGGCTCTGGGGAGCGGAGGCTGCCTCTGGTGCAGGTGCAGACCTGGGAACCCGCTGGCTCCCAGGACGCAGGCTCGGCTCTTAGGCACGGTTGGGCAGAGGCTGAGTCCTCGGAACAACCACAATCAACTTCCTGGTAAAATAAAGGGAGGGTTTGGCTCCTTTAGAGGGTGGATTGTGGACGTTTGGTTCAAAAGACTGTAGAGAGTCACTGTAGTAGAAGCCTCACACCGGAACTGGCGTTTCTGCCTGGACAAATGCTAACTGCAAACAGTTCTCTGGAACACGGTGGAAACCCCCAGCCCCTGGAATTGGGAAACTGGAAAGGGATCTAGGCCAATAAGCAACATGAGGAGGAACATTGGAAGGTAGCACTTGTGAGAAAACAAGTTTAAGAAGCTGGAGGTTTGCAGTCTGAGGAGAGATTCTACACATTTCCACAGAGAGAAAAGGATGAGGCGGTCCAACTGCTGTCTTCATTCTGACCGCTCACAGGAAGTGGAGCAGATGGCAGTGAGGGAGGGCCTGTGTGGTGCCAGGTGCCAGAGCATCTTGACTGGGAGGGTGGTGAGCCTCCAGTGTGACTGCGGGACGCAATTGAACAATCTGGTAGGGACCAGATTTTTTTTTTCTTCTTTTGAGTTAGAGCTTTATCTGAACTGTCTGTCTCAGGGGTGTTTTTTGTATCAAAACCAAAATGCAACAGGCTTTCTAAGGCTGCTGAATGACTCAACTCTGAGGCAGAGGGACAAAGAGCTCTGGAGGACTGAGTTAACTCAGGCAATGTCACCAGGCATTTCTCAGGAACTGCAATTGTGGAAGCCCTGAACCAGCTTCTCGTTCAGCCTCGGATCCACGACTTGCGAGTCACAAACCGCTTGAGCTTGGAAGCAAAACGGACATGTATTTCCCAGGGAAAGCTGGTCAGGTTGACTCAAAGTTGACTGCTCCGGAAAGAAGACCCACGTGGCTCTCTTCCAAGGGCTCTCTTCTTGCTACGCAGCAGGCTGTGCTGTGGAGTTGCTGTGCGCCCTGAGAGGCTTTTTGGGGAGCAAGGGCACATGGGGCTCTGTTGG